GCATAGCTTCCAGAATCACAGCAACATGCAAGCCACCACAGTATGACAAACTGACAGGCAAGTGGTGGTAAATCTAAGGTAAGTTCAAGGTGCATTAAAGGTATTGGCAAAGAACACGGCACTAGGAGTTAATGAAATACAAACTGAAATACTTCAAAAACCTGATGCGGCACTGGAGATATTCATCTATGCCAAGAAATTTGGAAGACAGATAGTTTGCCAACTGATTGAAAGAGATCTATATTTGTCCTCATTTCAAAGAGAGGTGACTCAACAGAATGTGACAATATCATTAATATCACATGCAAATAAAATTTTGCTAAAGATAATTCAAAAACGACTCCAACAGTGCATTGAGGGAGAACTGACAGGGGTTCAAGACAGGATCAGATGGGGATTTGGAAAGAGGAGTATCATTGCTGCTATTAGATGGATCTTCACTGAAAGAAGAGAACACCAAAAAGATGTCTACCTGTGCTTTTTTGACTATGTCCATAGTTTTTGATTATATCGATCATGACAAACCATGAAAAACCTTGTGAAGAATGAGTATTCTGGAACACTTAATTGTGCATATGAGAAACCTGTATATAGACCAAGAGGCAGTGGTTCAAACAGAACAAGGGAACATTAAATGATTTAAAATTAGCAAAGGTGTGCGCCAGGGTTGTATTCTTCCCCCATACTTATTCAGTGTGTATACTGAGGAAATAATCCGAGATTATATGGAGAAGAGGAGTCTTGGTATAGCACTGTGGGTTAATGCACTGGACTGCAAAGTCGGTTTGAACTGCAAGGTCGGTGGTTCAAGCTCACCAGCTGCTCCTTGGAAGCCCTATACAGGGTCACAACTGATGACTTGATGACATTTAACAACAACAGCACATGAAGAAGAATGATGTGACATCAGGATTGGAGAAAGACTCCTTAACAACCTGTGATATGCAAGTGATACAACCTTGCTTGCTGAAAGTGAAGAGGACTTAAAATACTTACTGATGAAGATCAAAGACCACAATCTTTGGTATGGGTTGCACCTCAGTGTAAAGAAAACAAAAACCCTCACAACTGGACCAATAAATAACACCAAGATAAATGGAGAAAAGATTGAAGTTGTCCGATTTCATTTTCTGGGATCAACTATCAACACCCATGGAAGCAGCAGTCAAGAAATAAAATGACATATTACATTAGGCAAATCTGTTACACAAGACCTCTTAAAAGTGTACAAAAACAAAGATGTCAATGTGAGGACTAAGGTGCGTGTGACCCAAACCATGGTATTTTCAATAGATTCATATGCGTGCATGTGAAAGTTGGGTAATAAACAAGAAAAACCGTAGAAGAATTGATGCATTTGAGTTATGGTTTTGGAGGAGAATATTAAAAGTACCATGGACTACCAGAAGAACAAACAAATCTGTGTTGGAATAAGTATAGCCAGAGTGCTCCTTGGAAGTCAGGATGGCCAGACTTAGTCTCTCATGATTTGGACATATTATCAGGTGGGACCAGTCCCTGGAGAAGGACATTATGCTTGGTAAAATGGAGGGTCAAAAAAAAGTGAAAGGGCCTCAATGAGATAGATTGGCACAGTGGCAGCAGCAATGGGCTCAAGCATAGCAGTAATTGTAAGGTTGGTGCAGGACTGGTATTCAAGATCTTATTTTGGTTTTCGTGGATTTGTTTTAATTTTCTTTAGTTTCAACCTGAAATTGCATAGGAGAAATTGATGATTTGTTCCACAGTTTGTCCCTGGCCTCATTTGGTTGATGATATTGAGCTTTTTTACCATCTCTTCCCACAAACGTAGTCAATTTGATTCCTGTGTATCCTCCTATCTGGTGAGCTTCATGTATACAGACACCTTTTATGTTGCTTAAAAAAGATAATGTCAATAAATAAGTCCTTGGTCTTGCAAAACTCTGTCAAGTGATCACCACCATCATTTCTAACACCAAGCCCATAGTTTTCAACTACTGTTCCTTCCTCTTTGTTTCCAACTTTTGTCCTCCAATTGCCAGTAATTATTAATATATCTTAATTGCACATTTGATCAATTTCAAACTGATGAAGTTGGTAGAATTCTTTAATTTCATCATCACTGGCTTTTGTAGTTGGTGTGTAAATTTGAATAATAGTGGTACTAACTTGTTTTTTTGTGTGTGTTGTTGTTAAGTGTTGTTGAGTCGGTTCTGACTCATGGTGACCCTGTTTAGAATTTTCTAAGAAGTGGCAGGTAAGTTTGAACCATTAACTTTGCAGTTCAAATGATCTTGTGGTCTGGTGCTTCTCCTACACCGCCACACCAGGACTCCAGTCTTACTTGTAGGTATATGAATATTGTCCTATCACAGACAGCATTTTATTTTAAGATAGATCTTGAAATGTTCTTTTTGACATTGAATGTGAAACCATTCCTCTTCTCTTGTCGTTCCCAGCACAGTAAGCCGTTTCAGCTCACTAATGCCTAGGATATCGATCTTTATGCATTCCATTTCATTTTTGACAACTTCCAATAATCTTAGCTTTGTAATTCATACATTCTATGTTTGATTATTAATGGATGTTTGCAGCTGCCTGTGTTCATTTTGAGTTGTGCCCCATCACAAATGAGGGCCCTGAAAGCTTTGCTCCATTTAGGTCACTATGGTTAACTCTACTTTGAGAAGGCAGCTTTTCCCCAGTCATATTTTGAGTGTCTTCCAACCTGAGGGGCTCATCTTCCTACACTATATCTGGCAATGTTCAGCTGCTATTCATAAGGTTTTCAGGGGATAAATATTCAGAAATAGTCTGCTTTTTCCTTCCTTATCTTAGACTGGAAAGTTTGCTGAAACCTATCTCTCCTGGGTGACCCTGACAGTATTTAAAATAGACCAATGGCATTGCTTTCAACATCATGCAATCCACCATAGCATGACAAATTGACAAATGGTGTAACTCTGACTTATTGTTGTGGTCACTATGTGCCATGGAGTCGGTTCTGACTCATAGTGACCCTATGCAGGGTTTCCAAGGCTGTAAATCTTTACAGGAGCAGAAAGCTTCATCTTTCTCCCACGGAACAGCTAGTAGTTTCGAACTGCTGACCTTGAGGTTTGCAGCTCAATTCGTAAACACTATGCTACCAGAGCTCCTTGCTACTGTATATATGGTTTTCAAGACTATATATTTTTACAAGAGCAGACAGCCTCATCTTTCTCCTAAGGAGCACCTGGTGGATTTGATTGCTGACCTTGCGTTTAGCAGCCAAATGCCTAACCCACAGTGCCACCAAAGCTCTTTATCCACAAGGGTTAGAATTCCAACACATTCCTGGGTGGCACTATTCACTCTGTAACACCAAGCCAGAAACACACCATTATTGTATAAGCCACTAAGATGTCAGGGTTGTTTTAGAAGCTACCATTGATTGACACACTAAATCCTAAAACGATTTTATAATAGCAATAAATCTAAAGAATTCTAACAGCATTAAAAATTAGTGATCCACGCAGCACAACTGTGGGATAAGCTTTGGGGACTGCTAACCACAAGTTGGCAGCTTAAACCCACCAGTTGCTCCACAGGAGAAAGATGGGGCTATTGGTTTCCATAAAGATTTACAGTCTCAGAAGCCCTGTATAGAGTCACTATGCAATGGAATCGATTCAATGCCAGTGAGTTTCCAGCCTCCATAAGATCTGAATCTTTCGGCATGTTACACAAGCCTTTCCAGAATCACCCCATGGTCTGGCATTTGCCAACATCTTTATGTCCCATGGTGTCTTGCCTATCACCCAACATTCTAGTCATAATGACCTTGCATGGGAAGGTGTGCCTTCTTCACCTTCATTGCTCCCTGGACTTGGAAAAGCATTCTCCTCTTTGCATGACAAGTCTTCTTTCAAGATCTGTTCTAGTGCCACTTCATCCAGGAAGTTCTACCAGTTAGGAACACTTCTGGAACCCACTCTGTCCCACTGTATGCAGTAAATACTATGGAAAATTAACTAACACAAAAACAAAATATCCAAGTCCACCCGCTCCAAACAGGAGAGGAAACTAGAGTGGAAATATACATTAGCTTTAAGCTGTTGTTCTTAGGACACTTAACCTTTGCAAATTAAAAAAACACACACACACATAAAATCATGTGAACACACTGTGAAGGCCCTTCTCAGGGCGAAACCTGGTAAGCAAGAAGCTCTGAAGTTTAATCCCTACTGGATTCTGCAGAAAATGCGGTCTCTTTTGTGAAGGGCTCTGTACTCTGTAAGGTGCCCACACATGAGAACTTTTAAAGAAATTCAACAACAAAAAAAGTATTTGTTGCATTATGTTGCACGACAAGTGTAAAACGAATGTTTTTTTGACTGAAAACTAATCTGGGTACAAGAGGATTTACTATGTCATTTAATAAGGCCAATGATGCAATGAGGACCCAAAGAAAGTTATTCTTCCTCAGGACAAAGAGGTTGAGGGAAGGGTGTGGGGGAGGCAAGAAATGAGTAGAGTGGGAAAAAGGACATTACAGGTAAGGAGGGGAAAAACATAGGAACTAAGAACTAATAAAACCTAATACCGGACTCTAATGGTGAAAAGTAAATAAACCCAGTATCAAAAGTCCAGGGACAAAATTGGGGAAACCGGAGTGGAGACCGAGAACCGAGACACAACATAGTCACCCAACCCCACTCACGTCCCTCCTTCCGCCGCTTTTCACCTCCCCCTTCCCCCTTCCCCCTTCCCCCTTCCCCCCTCCATCCTCCCCCACCCCAAACAAACCGGTAACCTCTACCCGGCCACCTCTCATTGGCTATGCATACGAGCGAAGTCTACCTGGACCAATGAGCTGCGGCCACGGCTTGGCGAGACCCTTCTGGCCCACCCCTTTGCCGGGGGCCCGCCCCGCTGCCTATCTAGTATGGGCCGAGGACGGGGACTTGGGGCGGCGGGGGCGCGGCGCACAGTAGAGCTTCAGCGGCGGCGGAGTGTGTGGACCGCGGTCCGGGGCGCTCAGCATGGCTCGCCTAATGCTCGGTAGGCGCGGAGCCGGGCAGCATGTGCTGACTGTCGCTCTGGGACAACGAGGGTCGGCGTAGGGGGTGGGGGTGGGGAGGCTTCTAGTCTCAGGATTGTGGCTCCCGGGAAGGCCCCCAACTCTCCCACACGACGGGCCTCGAGCCGGGTGAAGCTGGGGTCGGAGGGGGCCTATGGCCCGGGGAGCGGAGGGGATGCACCTCAGCCACCCCCGGTGCTCCAGGGACACGGGCTTCCCATTCCCAGCCGGTCTAGAGGGTGGGTGCGTTGCTTCTGCCAAGCCCGCGTTGGGGTGGGGGTTTGCCGGGCCCAGTCCACGCGGGAGGGACTTCGGCTTTGTGTCCTGGGCTGGGGAAGCAGAAGGGGCTGCCCTTGACCAAGTTTCCTTCCCGAGCCTCTTACTGGTGCCCGGACTAGGTGCGGCCGCAGTCGGGGCAAGCGTTGCGACGGTGCGGACATCCTCGGGTGGAGGGGTTTCCTCAGACCCAAGCTGGGAGAGTGTGGGCGTGAGGAGGGTGCGTTTTGGGTGGAGAGACCATTGTAGTCCTCGGCGTGAGCTCCGAGTGTTGGCAGTGTCTCTTCTTAAAACTCGGCGGTGTTTTAGGGCGCTCGAGGGGACGGAGGCGGGGAAGGGGCGTGCGCGGGCCCATTCCCACTTTGTCATAGGGGCACACCCTGGAGGCTGTGTCCGAGTGGGGGTGGTGAGCTCGTGTAGAGCTGGCTTCCCAGCCGTTTGTATGCTATGTGGGTGGAGATAGAAATCCAGGAGCTGTTTCTGAACCGCTAAGATCAACTAATGGCTTAATTTATGGGAGCGGTTCTTCTGGGTCCCATCCCACTTCACGAGTGTTTGGATTTAAACCAATGGGGAGAACCTCGTTCTCAAACACTTGTGTGCTGTAGAGTAACCGCGCTCACCAGACACCTACTTTCGACCACCTGTTTTATGTAGTTCCTACATTTAGGAAAAATTGAAATATTAGAACTCATATCTGAAATAAGACTGATAGTTGCATTAGAAAGGGACACCTTCCAAAAGGTGATCTTCAGATGTTTCAATATCATCGACCTTAAAAAAACAAACAAGCAAACTGAATGGAACCCAGACTTTGATGAGCTAGATAAATATCTGGTAAGCAAAGATTGGGGGCCTGGGCTGGCTTTGGCCATAGCCAAAGCATTATAACTGTCCATGACAGGACACTCTGATGGGACCCAGCATCTCCTCCATTTACACAATGTGTGACCAGGAGCAAATTACTTAATCCATCTGTGCCAGTGCTTTTTCATCAGTCAAATGCAAACGATAATAGTAACTCCACTGGATTGTTCTGATGATTCATGAGTTTTAATACACATAAAGAAATGTTTGTCAGAGAATAAACACGATGTAAATGTTATAACTGTAGGGAGAGTAGATGAAGGAAAAAGATTTGTGTGTCAGTGTAGTTTCCTGTGAGTGAATTCAGAGTAGATTCCTGAAGAGACTGAGATTCTATTAAATCACTCATTATTTTCATAAACCTAGTCAGCCTTTTGGGAAACCATCTTGGATTTTTGATGACTGCTTCGGGACCGTATATTCCTCATTTCGGGGGTGGTGGTGGTGAACAGAGATGTTAGTGATGTGAATTTATAACCTCTTTTAATACTATGGAGGAATGGGAAAGCTACAGATGGCGAAACCATCTGCTCAACATAGATTTTAGACACTCAGTTGTTCTGATTTCCCATTGGTGCTCGTTATCAGTGAGTGGAATGCTCGTATGGATTTTAGACAGAGAACCTCATTGGTCAGAAGCATTGACCTACTTTGTCATCTTAAATAAAGCCGAGTTTTTGTTTTGGAGACTTGAGGCTGGGGGAATAATACTTGACTACTGTTATGCTGTCAGTATTTACATATCTTCTACTTGTTCTTTCTGCTTGCTTCCATTGCTAACTTTATTCTGTCTTATTATCTTGTAAGGAATTCAGGTCTCAAACATTTATCACTTTTATTGAGTATCCAAAAGACCATTGGAGTTCTGGTATGGTGCTACAGAATAATGCACTGGACCACAAGGTTGGTTTGAACCACAAGGTTGGCGGTTCAAACTCACCAGCCGCTCCTCAGAAACCCTCTACAGGAGTGCTATGAGTCAGAACCGACTTGATGGCACTTCACAACTACAATAAGCCGATGTCCTCAGTATCAGTAATCATAACCATCTTTGTATGGAAAGGAAGCACATTCCTGAATGCAAATATGATTCGTGTCTTGGATGCCCCAGCCTGCTTGAAACAGAATGAAAAGGAAAGTATTCTTGTTGTTAAGTGCTATTGAGTCAGTTCCGACTCATAGCAACCCTGTATAGGGTTTCCAAGGCTTTTACATCTTTGTGGGAGCAGAAAGCCTCATCTTTCTCCTTTGTAGTAGCTCATGGGCCTGGACCACAGACCTTGTTGAGTGCTTATCAAATGGAGCCACCGTGCTCCATGCTGTTTTCTATCCCTTATTGGCAAGAGAAGGGACAGAACCTAATGACACTCTAGTCCATTGGTCAGAAATTTGGATTACATATACTTGTTCTCTTTCTAATTATGTGAGCAAGTTGGTATGATGTTATTTATCACATAGGTTATTTAGTGAGTTAATAACAGAATTTAAAGAACACAATCTGACAAAAGTATCATATAAATGCTATATTACAGGTATGCTTGAGTGATACTGAGGGTTCCATTCCAGACCATGGCAGTAAAATGAATGTAACAGTAAAGCAAGTCACATGAGTTTTTTGGTTCCCAGTTCATATAAAAATGAAGTTTGCATATACTGTTATTATTTATGTGCTGGTTGAGTTGGTTCTGAATCATAGCGATCCTGTATAGGGTTTCCAAGGAGTGGCTGTTGGGTTTGAACCACCAACCTTGTGGTTAATAATCCATTCCTTATCCTAAAACGAAAAAAGTGCAGTAAAACAAGGTATGCCTGTATTGTTACTTTTTTGTTTTTCCAAAAAGAAAAAGATAAAAATGCCACTTTCTAGAGGATAGTTAAACATATATGAGGGACTTCAAAACGTATGTGGAAAATGGAATTAAAAGATAATGGATTTTTTTCCAGGAATTCTTTTAAGCCCCCTCGTACATACATCAAAATGTTAAACGTACCTCCTGATCTCGCCTTGTAAAGATTTCCTTTATGGAAATAATCATTCATATGTGGGGGAAAATAATACAATACTTTTCAGCATTGGCCTGTTAATAGTAAAAATCTAGAAACGATCAAAATTTTCTTTAGTGGATTGACAATACTGTTCAGACACTAATTACGGGATCATATGTAATCCATAGTTACTTATTTGGAAACCGTTTGTAACTTATTCTTGAATGAAAAAAAAAAAAAAAAAGATTGTAGAAAGGTATGTATAGTGTGATGCTGCGGGTTAATGCACTGAAATGCAAGGGGTTTAAACTGCCAACATGACAGGTCAAGCTCACCAGCCACTCGGAAACGCTATACAGAGTCATTATGAGTCAGAATCAACTCCATGGCACTTAACAACAATGTATAGTTGGGTCTCATTTATATAAATAGAATAAAATTTCAAGCCTTTGTGCGTGTTCATAGATGTCAGTAAAATTAGTCATTTTAGTTGAATTGTTAATGATTTTTCATCTTTTGTTTCTCCCCCCATTTTTGAAAATTTTACATTGAGCTCAGTGTATTGAATTAGTATTAATACATTTTAATCCCATAAAAAGATAAACTTTTTATCCAAGGCCAATCTTACTTTTGAATTTATTTATAGGTAGAACTTAAAATTGTGCTCTTGATTTATGCCAATTTGTTGTTAAGTGCTGTTGAATTGATTCTGACCCATAGCAAACCTGAATAGGGTTTCCAGGGAGTGAGTGACTGGTGAGCCTGAACCAACCACCTTGCAATTCAAACAAATTTGCAGTCTGGCGCATTAACCCACAGTGCCACACCAGGATTTATGCCTATAGATATATAAAAATATTAATGTGATATTTTACTTCTTCCCACCATATCAAATCTTGGAAGTTAGATGTTCTTTTTATATTTGCAGCACATCTTAGTTTGGGGTCACTATGTGTGACTAGTGGCCTGCCACATTGGGCAGCACTTAGAGGAGCAGTCAGACCCCCTTCAGTTGCGGTTAACCTCCATCTACATTCATTTCCCACCTCTTGAAATGGATTAGGAGGTCATCCTGTCAAAGGCTACTTCTTCACTCACTGCATTCCCTCCCCTCATCCTGACTGGGCATTTTGTTCAATCAGTTATTCCCTGTACTTTAGCTTCTCTCTCTCTGCCTAGTTCTTCCCTTTACACCCACTTGGTTCACTCCTATCTTTAAAACAGAAACCTTCCTTCTCCCCCGTGTTTGCTTGTCCTCTCCTCCTCTTTTTAATGAAACATTTAAAGAGTTATTTGTGTTGTTCTCTCCCACTTTTTCCCTCCTTTCCTCTTCAGTCCACAGCATACAGGCTATTCCTTGTTATTATTATACTGTTACTGCTCCTGGTGTGGTGCTGTAGGATTATCACTGAGCTGCAAACTAAAAGGGCCAATAGTTGAAACCCATCAGCTGCTCTTGGAAACCCTATGAGTTGAAACTGACTTGACGGCACTTAACAACAACAACAACATTACTGCTCCTCACAGTGATCTCTTTGGCATTAAATTAATTAACAGTTTTTAGGCTTTTCTCTAGTACCTCCCTATGGTAATCATTAACTGTTGCCTATTCCATCTCTTATAATTTTATGTGGCAACAACTCTTATAATTTTCCTTTTTAGTTTCTCCAATCCATCCTCCACATGGGGCAGTTGTTGCTAAGTGCCATCGCGTCAATTCCGATTAATATTGATGTTGTATAGGGTTTCTGAGGAGCGGCTGGTTGGTTTATAGGATCTCTGTAGGAAGCAAATTCGATCATACCCTTTGCATGATAACCTTTAGTGGCTTCAGGTCACTCTTGACAGTTCCTCTTTAGTCTATTCCAATTCCTGGTGATGCAGAGCTGCCATATATAAAATTTTCATGGTTGCAACTTTTCAGAAGCAGATCTGCAGGCTTTTCTTTTCTTCCCAGGGGCATCTGAGTGGATTTGAACCAACAACTTCTTGATTAGTAGCTAAATGCTTAACAGTTTACTCCATCTAGTGACTTCACCACTGATTATGTTCGTTTAGCCTTAGAGATACCACTGCATCTCTCCCTTCCTTTGTTTAATCATTTGTAAAATGAGAATACTTCCAGCTTTCTAGTTAGTAATGCTGGGATAAATCAAGTGCTCTAATGTGGTGCTGTGGGTTAATGTGCCAGACTGCAAAGCCATTTGAACTGCAAGTTTGGTTCAAGCTCACCTGCTGCTCCTCGGAAACCCTATACAGGATCACTATGGGTCGGCACCGACTCGACAGCACTTCACAACAACAACAATGTAATTGATGAGCTCTGGTAGTGTAGTGGTTATGAGTCAGGCTACCAACTTCAAGATCAAGATCAGCAGTTCGAAACTACCAGCGGTTCCGCGGGAGAAAGATGAGGCATTTTGCTCCCATAAAGATTTGCAGCCTCGGAAACCCTGTGTAAGGTCACTATGAGTCAGAACCGACTCCACGGTACTCAACAACAACAACAGCAATGTATTTGAGGAGTCCTGGTGTGGTGCTATAGGTTAAGCACTACACTGCTAACCACAGGGTCGGCAACTCAAACCCACCAGCTGCTCCTTGAAAACCCTATTCAGGTCACTATGAGTTGGATCCATGGTACTTAGCAACAACAATAATATATCTGAAATTGCTGTTTAAGATAGTGGTGGTGGTGATGGTTGTGTACCTCCTCATAGCAGCTGTGTACAGGGTTTCCAAGGCTGTACATCTTTATGAGAGCAGAAAGCCTCGTCTTTCTCCTGCAGCGTGACTAGTGGATTCAGACTGCTGACTGCAGTTAACAGCCCAGCGCATAATCCACTGCACTACCATTGCTCTGTATATAAGGTGGAGGTTTTGGCATTAGGAGAATTAACATTGGTGTATACTCCTCAGAAACCTTATACAGGATCTCTGTGAGTCACAACTAACTCGATGGCACACAGCCACCACCACCACTACTTTATACGGCACTCAATGACAACAAAAATTACTCCTTTCAGAGTCCTGGTGTGGCACTTAGGATAAGCACTGAACTGCTGACTGTAAGGTTGGTAGTTCAAAACCACCAACTGTTTCTTGAAAACCGTGTATAGCTGCTCCTCAGAACTGACCTGGACAGTACTTACCAACAGCATGCTCCTTTCGGACTAAACTGATTATTGGGTGTGTTTTTTTTAAGTTCCATTTGAAATCTTCTCAATTCTTTTTATGAATTGGACCTTTTTCTAGAACTACCCGTCTGATTTCACACTTTAGCCTTCTCAACTATGAGAGACTAAAATTCTGTTTGTTAAAACTGTTTACTTGTGGTATTTCTGTTACAGCAACATTAGGTAACTGAGACAGAATTTAATGCCAGAGGAATGGGGTGCTGCGCTGACAGATAATTTAAAATGTGGAAGCGGTTTTGAATTGGATAATGAACTGAGACTGGAATAGTACTAATCTACCTAAATAGTAAAAGCCTAGGTTGTCTAGATTGAATTATGAATGTCAGTGGCAGTTCTGATGAGGGCTCAGAAGGAAGTGAGGAGAACTGTAACACCGGAGAAGGCACAGATGGTAAGTAGTAACAAAGAAACTACAGTAGAACCAGGAGATGGACACTAACTAGCAAGAGAACTGAGTACCTTCATGCAGGAGACTTTCTGGTGGAGTGGGGTACCTCTGGGTGCTTGAAGGTGAAGTTAGGTTCTCTGACCTACAGAGCTAGAGAGCTGAACTCCTTCTGACCAAAGATCACTGGTGTAGTGGAGTGCCTGTGGGTACTTATGAGTAGAGCTAAGGAGCTTTGTAACATGTGCTCAGGTAGAGCAGAGCACAGAAGTATAGCTTTCTCTGGAGTTCAAAGAATGAGGAAAGCAGACACTGAGGAGACAAGGAGCATGAGAAACAGCTGCCTTGGTCTCAAAAGTTAAGGCCATAACCTAGGGTCTTTCAAAGGTTGAGACCATAGTTTCCAATGTTTCAGAGTGTTGTATCTTCACCAGCTCAGTCCTGGATTGTGGGGCTGCGATTAGATGTGACCACTGTCTAAAACTGAGGGTGCCGGCAAGGCTTCCAATGCCCCAGGCTTCAGAAGAACAGCTTGCCAAGTCCAAGGGGTTATCACTCAGATGGACTAAGAGAATGGGGCTACCCAAAGCCAGGGGAGCGGCGTTGCTTTTCCTGTGGGTCAGGAAAGCAGAGTTGAAGCCCAGGATGGAGGGACAACTAACACCAAGAAAGAGTTTGATGCCAAGGCACATGGGGGTCGCCAAAGAATACTGAAAGGAGACAAGAACCTTTCTCCAGAGTTGATGGTCAGAATTCAGACTTGTAGCATCCTAAACTGTAAGAGAATGAATCTGTTTGCTAGAGCCATCTACTTGTATTTCTGTTACAGCAACACTGGAGAACTAAGACAGAAGTGAGCGTACAAAACTCTTTCTAAGATAGCACACACACAACCTTGGGGAACAGGTCATTTCCACTTAGAATTCACTGTATAAAAGATAAAGAGAAAGGAATAATATCATGGGCTCATCTTTTAAAATTAAAAGACAGAAATACCTTAAATTTCTTTAACCTAGAATGCACCTCTTTCAACCCAAAAGCCAGCATCTTACATACGGATACTTTCTGTTAAAGTTGAGAACAAGAGTGGAATATTATTTAGCTTTGTTCTGGAGAAATTAAGCAATACAACCAGAAAACCTAAAGCCATTAGATGCATATATATTTAAAAGGATTTGACATTTTGATAGTATTAGCAAGTTAAAAACTCTTGAGTACTTATTATTAGTAAGTCAGTTGAGAATATGTTTTCCTATGTATTTGTTGTAAACCACACTTAAATTTCTAGCATAGCCAACAGAAAAATACACTTGATCCATAATGTGGATGACCTGTGTTGTTAATGATGCATCAGACTCTACTTTCCTTTGTACTCATTTTCATATGAAAATTCTAAGTTTATTCAGCAACTTCGCGCTGTGGGCTAATGCGCCAGACTGCAAGGTCCGCAGTTCAAGCTCACCAGCTGCTCTTCGGAAACCCTATACAGGGTCACTATGGGTCGGAACCGACTCAACGGCACTTAACAACAACAACAACAATCACCTGCCATGGATATTTTTAGGATAAATAAAAGTATAAGTGCAGTCATTGCTCTTGGGAGAGTCATAGTCTAATGGAAGATGGATTTTTTTCCATCTTGGTATCAAAAGTATAACAAATTAAGTGTTACAATAAAGGCATGTGCTATTATCACAACTGAATAGCAGGAGTAAATACTGTGTGGACTTCACGGTGCCATGGTCAGATGTTACCCTCCCAATTTCTCAGTGTTCTCACCCATAAAATATGAATAAATAGTATCAAAACCATCATGTTGTTAAGTGCTGTCGTGTCAGTTCTGACTCATAGCAACCATGTATAGGGTTTCCGAGGAACAGCTGATGAGTTTGAACTCAACCTTGCAGTTAACGGTCCAGTGCTGATCCTGTAGTGCCACACTAGAACTCCCTCACCAGGGCTAACCCTACTAACCTCTCCCATCTCTGATGTAGCCCCAGGAGTTCCACTCCCACTTGTACAGCACTGAGTAAGTAGGGAGCAGACAGTGCCTACTCTCATTTCCAGAGCTGCAGGACTCCTGGTGTAGCCCTATAGGATCAGCACTAGACTGTGAACCACAAAGTTGGCAGTTCAAACCCACCAGCGTCTCCTCAGAAATCCTATATAGGTCGCTATGAGTCAGAACCAGCTTAACTAACAGCAAAGCAAAGTGATATCAACATTGTGCTGCTTAAGTGTTTTGTATGTAGTAATACCTTTTTATAAAAAATAAAGGAGTTACTATATGTAAAACACAAGGAGGACAGTGTTCTATCATTTGACTTTGCAGCTCTGGAAATGAGAGTAGATACTGTCAGTTCCCTTCTTGCTTAGTGCTATGGGAGTGAAACTCCAGGGGCTGCATCAAAGATGGTCAGTGGGGTTAGCTGACCCAGGCAGTCCTGTGTGGAGGACATTGTTGATTTAAAGAGACCTGTGTGGTTGCCCAAAGTTTCAGTAGTTTAGGTTGCCCTAAGATCAGTAATCTGCTGTTAATGGTGTGCTTTATGTTGTTTTTCCAGGTTTGGTGATCTGTGCCTTCTTTCTAGCCGTGAATGGTCTATATTCCTCTAGCGATGATGTAATCGAATTAACTCCATCAAATTTCAACCGAGAAGTTATTCAGAGTGATAGTTTATGGCTTGTAGAATTCTTTGCACCATGGTAAGTATTATACAATAATTGTAGATTCTTAAAGAAACTATTAGAGGTCATGGAGATTGAGTCAGTAAAAAAGAGATGTTATTAAGTGCTGTCGTTGGTTCCAACTCATAGAGACCCTGCGTATGGTTTCCAAGGAGTGGCTGGTGGGTTTGAACAGCCCATACATGGGATCTTGGTGTGATAGAAGTGATATTGTTGCCGTTAAGTGCTGTGGAGTTGGTTTTGACTCAGAGCAACCCTGTATAGTCACCGAGGCCGTAAGTCTCTGTGGGAATAGAAAACCTCATCTTTCTCTCTTGAAGTGGCTAGTGGGCTTGAACTACGGACATTGTGGTTCAAAGTCTAGTGCTTATCCTACAGAGCCACTGATCACTGCAGGAAAGTAGAATGTGGGTTTAAACCCTCATAATTACAATGGTTTATTTACTTATAACAAGGTAAGTAGAATGAGGGTATAAGGGAAACTTAAGTTTCTGAAGAAAGACTATTGGGACAAAGGAAATGGATGAACTGAGAACTTACTCCATTATTTTGTTTATTGAAGAGGATTGTCTCCAGATACATATGAGGAAAGATCTAATTTCATTTTTAAATTCTCCTCTTGGCTCTAGAATAATTCATCACTGAAAAAAGCAATAGATTAGATAAGTTTATGTTAAGTGGGGATGAACAACTCAGAAATAGGGGTGAGAATAGTTGCACAACTCAAATAATGTAATCAGTGTCACTGATTTGTACATGTAGAATTGATTGTATATATATGCTCAACAACAATAAAGTACTACTTTAAGGTTACCACACAGTTCAACTTCACAGATAATAGTTGACTCCCATTAAATCCCCACCAGGTACTTGTGTATTGATAGTTAATAGTCTTATTGTACATTTGCATCATTTTCTTTGATTTTGTTGTT